AATATTCTACGTAAAGAGTGTTTTCCTTTAAGTCAATCTTCTACCCTAGTTTTAGATCTACATGAAGATTAGGCTTTCATATTAAGGTTAAGAGCGTTCATTATGATGATTATTTTGAAGAATATGTATTATTCAACCAATATTGTACATTGTGAAACAGAATCATCATTTTTCTTATATATATATATATATATATATATATATATTGGAGAATTATATACTTCTGAATCAAAAAGTATGAAAATTGACTTAAAAATCTCTATTAAAATTTATTGTAAAATTTATGAATTTTAAGCAACCATAACAACAATACACATTATCGAGTATATTTTACATCTAAGACAAGGAATGCTTGCCATTTACCATCTTAATAGATAATCACAAGTTTTGGTTTCAAATTATTAATTTTAAACTCTGGATTAGAATTATTTAAGATTAATATTAATTTGAAAAAATAAAAATATTAACATAAAGCATGTTGTTGTAGCAAAAGCAATAGGTTTCGGATAGAAACCTTTTTTTTATTGTACTTCTCAAGAGGCTGGATATTATTTTAGCAGTGCAAAAACTGGGAAATAGTTGCAAAGTTTAATGTCTACATGTGAAATATGCAGCGAGTCAAATATACCTAAAACCCAAATAAATGGTTAAAATTAACAACCAAAGGATTTAGGACCCATGCTTTGGAGAGAAAAAAAATTTATTTATCAAACGCCGAAAACGATTTTTACGGTTTTAGAGGGTATCAAGCACCGAAATGGCTTTATTACATAATAACTACATGGCCAGGAAAGACATTGGCAGGAATCAGCGTGTTCTCCGGAAACCGACTGTATTTTCTACACCTCTAGCTTATTAATTTTTCTTCTACTCCAAAACTAACAAACGTCTTACAAACAAGAGTCGTATGACTGGGCGAGTTTGGAAAGGAAATTGTTTTTTATAAATTCATCAAATGAATTATAAATTGCGATAAAGACTTCTCACTCCTTTCACATATGCGCAATGCATTGCAAATATCACATTGAAATAAAATCTTGCTATGTCACATCATTGTGTTATATATGTAGATTGTGTGAGTTTAATAGAAGATATAGTACTGCCATTTACAAAATAAAAATGTATAAAGATTTCAAATACCGTTTACTTTTTCCGAATAAAATAGAATCTAATAGATTTGCACAAGCCTCTAAGTTTGAATTGAATATTTTCTCTTCATTCACTTAAATTTTCCAACTTTCTCAATTGCAAATGATCTCATTTCATTGTTTTCTTTATTGCATAATCATATTCCATCATGATATTGGAATTTTATTTTGCATTCTATTTTTTTTAATAATTATACAATTCTAGCAGCGCTTCATCTTAAAATCCATAATTATGATCTTGCTTTGTATATTGTGCATTGTTATGTTGACGGTGCGATTGGATTCTTTTGTTTCAGAAACCTCTAAAATTATGCGTGGAAATTCCAGACGTTACTGTAATGTCCATGCATTATTATTATCATTACGGTTACTTGTTATTATTGTGTGTTTGAACATTTGATCTCCAATTCTACAATGCCATATTTTGTTACATTTATTCATTGTACGGTACTCGTCTTTATGAGGTAAATCCTCTTCTTTTTTTGCCTCCTTTCTTCATTGCACTTAACAAAATGTTTCCTTCCCTTCATATATTATGCCTGAAGACTTTGGAAACCATAGCTAGAGCACATACGTGGCTGTAGACTGTGAGTTCATTCATTGCAACGAGACTGAAAGTGGGTTCAAACTCATCGCAGATAGGTCCTCAAAACCTTTTGAGCTTGTACGCCGCTCAAGGGTTCGCAGGATGAAGGAGGCGCGGAGCACAATGTGCGTTCAGCGTTTAATAAATGCCAAGTGTGTGGGCCCTGTCAATATTCGAAATTGACTCTAAGCATGCATTTGTGATTGGCGATTGACCGAATGAAATGGGCCTCAACAAGCAATAATGTCAACGAAGAATTGCTCTGCCCGTTGCCGGCGCTATTGGGACCCTTCGGTTACTTTCTAGGAGATTTGATGGTAATTACAGAGTTTAACCTATCAATTGTGTCATCTTGTATGAGTGACATCTTCCCATTAGTGATATGGATTTTTAGAACCATTAGATTGTTACTAGTAAACCTGTCTAATAATAACATTACCTCACCAAATGACAATAGTGACATAATACTAATCAATAATGATAGTTCCAAATGTAATTTTTGAAAAGTGTAATGTAACATATCTTATTCAAACGTCTCAACAGTTTATTCTCTAGGCTTCAAAAGTAATACTTCACTACAAATGATGTCATCTATTTTTTCGTTCAAATTTTGTTGCATGTATCCGTATTCAAACGTATGCATCCGTATTCAAACAGTATAATAGCATCTTCTTCCTGAACATTACAAAATTGCGTGTTAAGTAGATCTTGCAGCCAAAGAACGAATTTACGGAACTCCAGGATGGGTGGAACATACGATAAGAAAGTTCCGCACTTTATTTTTGTGAGTTCCAAATCTCTTTCACTATTGGGAGTTGATACTCAACTTTACTCTTGTGACTGACACTAAAAATTTACGTTACTATTGGGAGCTTAAACTCTGTATTTCAGTTACGAAAGTTCAGGTTTCAAAACCAATTTTTTAAATTGCCAGCTGCAGCTAATCTTTCATGGCTCTAGGATGTCGTCGTCAAACCAAACTTTCCTGGATGCTTAATCCTGCAAACGGCTCAAATTCCAACCGCCTCCATCTTGTGCTACTCTTCTTGGCGTTTGCGCATGAACAGACGAACTCTTCTCTTCCTCCTAAGATTTGGATTGTACTCGCTTCTTAAGAGGTTCATCGTGTACATGAAGTATGCACTCCGTCGCCTAACCAGCCAAATGTGTTGATCTGGTTTATATTGGGATGAACCATGAACGCCCTTAAACTTTGATTGTTCAAAAATCCTATTGATTATTAATTTACTGACTTAGTTGTCCAGATTTGTGCCCACGCTCGTGGTCTTCTTTTGATTGGCTGAATATGGATCGCATCACTCAATGATGCATGCATAGGAGGGAAATTGCTTTTCCAAGGACCTAGAGAGGACGTCAAAAGTTTGTTTGCGGTCTGTGCGTGTCATCCTTGCGCAGGGCCATGCTAATCTTCTCTGTATCGTTCCAATTTTATCGGATGTTCCGGAAGGAACAGCCGAGCAGGGCAACGGACTTCGAGGGGGTGATTCCTTTTTGTGCACAACTCGCAATGACTCCTCGGGTGCAGATCGCAGGTCCGATTCCGAGCTCGCCTCCCGAAACCAGTAGATAGAGCTGGAAGATTGGAAAGTGTGCTGGCTGTGGCAAAATCGCCACTTGCTCTTCTGATTCCAGACTGTCCAATTTCTTAACATAACTTGTTTCAAAATCACCCTCATGATTTTCTGCCACGCCTCTAGCTCTACTTGTGAGCAGGGTTAGCTCTGCAGCTATCAGTTGCATCTCGGCTCTAGTAAGCACTTGTCGACCTCCACGACCGGAGAATCAGCTAAGTTCTGCTCTGCAATGATCCGAGCCATTTGACTTTGAACGAACAAGGTTTCCTGCTGTGACCTGTTTGTTCTCTTAGAAACTTTGAAACCGGAGTTATTTCATCTAGGCATACACGCGAAGGTCTCAGACCAAGAGAATCGAGAACCTTACTTGATCATCTCTTGTAAATGTAAATGTATCTGACTCCCCAATTCCACAGAGTAGAGAGTGTATGACAGCCGTTCTGGATAGAGCCCCAGGACCGGACATGCGTCATCGAACGTAGTGAAACTTTTCACTAGAATAGTACATTCAAGACCTTTACCAGGATTGAGGGAAATCTCGTACAGTGACGTTCCTCTCTTAGTCAACGAAGACCACGAGTGCCAGTACCATAACGAGCTGAGAATTTGGAAAGCACCAACAGATTGAAGGATGGCTGAACTTCTCGATCACCACGAATGGGTTGGCATGCATCTAAAACGAACCTAACGAGGTACCTGATCAAAAAGCTTTGCACGAGATACCAAGCTAAGGAGCTCATGTTATGCCCAACCCCACTGCTCTAATACGAAGCAGATGTCGTCTGCTCATATAATAATCCAGATGTGCAAGACTGCCCTTTGTGATGATGTAAGATAAAGGATTAGCTGCTCTCCTCTCTGCATATAAATATTTATCGGGCGTGCTCCTGATCTCCACTTTGAATCGGTCCTTCAGGCATCTCCTTCCTTGAAAAGTTTTTAGCTCGTATGACGAATCCATGACTAAGATCAACAAGTATACTGCCATAACATAATCATGATTATGTTATGCGCTGTGCTTGTAGAGGTTTAGCGTCTCTTAGACCAGGGTCTTCTCGTGTGCAATGCAAATCTTGAGATCGATTCCACGAAGGCAGCAACAATAGTCCAAATTCACAAGCCTCTGGTTTGTTAATTGTCGGACAAAACTCTTTAAGTCCCTTTGATAAAGAAGACATAGAAGCAAGGTTCTAGGTCTTGGTAGTATCATATGGACAATTATGTACTACAACACCTACAATATATCGCATATATATATCAGAATATATAATAATTATTATTTGAAGTGATTACTTTACTACAGCCAATGCTCTGTGTATAACAATTGAAATATCCTGCCTAAAATAGACTAGTAACTACTAAAATTACCATAATCATGAGATCCATAATCATAACAAGTATAGTGCCATGCCCGATCATGAAGTTGGTGACTAGAATAACATTTCGCAATATAAATATTCATGCCGGCGAGACCGGAGCGAAAGCAAGTTGACTTGTTTGTCCTCCCTAGTTTCTTGCACTGTTCTGTTTTCTTTTCTCCAAGCGGTCGTCTCTTCTCCCCTCTCTGGTGTAGCTCTGTTGACTCTGATTTCTTTGTGATTGGTCCATGTGAGCATCTCCCGCCTCCTCATTTCGTGCAGTCTTTGAAACTACATACTACTCCATGTCGAAGTCTCGACCGCGACATGGTATGAAGCTGATTTCTGAGTGGTATCCTGAACGCAGACTGTTGAAGCTTCCTCGCCTCATGATTATCGGCTCTTAGTTCTGCACAGTGCAAGTCTGCAATCTGTCCAGAGTGAGGTGAGTGGAATTCCATGGCCTCTTCAGAATCTCCGTCTGATTTGATACCCTTGATTTGATAGGAGTGAAAGCTCTTAGGGGCGCATACAGACAGAATCCAAATTTGACGGTGTTTGTGAATGTATCTTGGGCCAGCGAATCCTTAAAAATACAAATGCAGGAGAAGAGACTGGACAACATGCGTGCAGAGGAGTTCAAACTGAAGGACGAGGAGCAAGTAGTTCCGCACATGGCCAAAGTTTTCTTATGTGGATATGAGAAGGTGGGCAAAACCACACTGAGAAGATCGATGGAGAGAAACCTTCTGAAGTCCTTGATCAAGTGGGAACGCAGGCCTCGGTTTCATGAGGAGCCACGCACCCGAGGAATAGAGTTGTCTGAGGTTTCTGGTGAAGCTGGAACCCCGGAAGAAGAGCTGACACTTATTCTGTGGGAGTTAGCTGGCCAGCAAGAGTTCCATGTGATGCACGGGGCCTTCCTTCCAGACCTCGGACTGGCATCCGGCAGGGCTACAACTTTCGTGCTGGTCTTTCGTGCTGATTCGGTAAAGCCGCCAGAAGCTGCAAAGAGTGAACGTGAGCTGCGCTACTGGCTCAGATTCATCGCGGCCGGGTCTGTGAAGGGTCTCAAGCGCCACTTGGTCTTAGCTCTGAACTGCATAGATTCTCGAATCCATGGCGGTGTTGAAGCTGAAGATTTCAACCGTCAGAAGACTTTCTGGGGCAGTCTTCTGAAAGATGTAGGCAAAGCGTTCTCTGATTCGCTCGACATCCACTCGGAGCCTATTGTAGTCGATGCAAGATCGAGAAGGTCTGTCCAGAAGCTGAAGCAGCACCTGCTATCCAAAGTCGAAAATGCTCTCAAAGATGTCAAGATACCCAAACTATGCTTGGAAATTCATGAGTTTCTGCTCGACTGGAAGAGTAAGCATAGCAACTTCCCGGTCCTCAACTGGACATTGTTTAGCCAGATGATGGAGGAACGAGGTATCACAGCCGACAAATTAGACGCAGCCACTGCTCACTTGCAAGAGACAGGGTGCATCCTCTACTACAGGAATTCTCCGGTTGGGATGGAGACCGATAGATTTGTCGTTGCAGATCCGGAATGGTTCGGCAGGAAAGTCATCGGCGAAATCCTCCTACCTGAGCAAATGCCAGCAGCTAAGCATTCGTCTCTATCCCAAATCGTGGGAGACGACGGATCTCTCAAACGCTCTATGCTCGCCGGCCACTTCCAAGCTCTCAACAAGGACAGCGCGAACACCGATGAACTGATTGACATGCTCGCCAAGCTGGGGTTGTGCTACGATGTGGGAAAGGAGAGAGTTTTCATCCCGGCTCTGATCCGAGAGGACAATCTGAGCAAGTGGGAGAGGAAGGGAGTGCACTGGGTCATGGGGCGATCTCTCCAGCCCAGAGAGGAGGACAAGGGATTCATTCCCTCGTCCGTGTTCAGGAAGCTGCAAGTCCTTCTGGCTCAACACGAGAAATTCGGGCTCCCACGTGACAGCGACTACTGCGCCGGCAAGACGTTCTCGTTCTTCATGGTCGGAACTCAGATGGTTCTCGTGCAGTTCGATGTCGATGAATCCCACCCAGGGGACGATCGGATCGATGTGCTCGTCAAGCGCATGGTCAAGCAGGTCGATGTCGTCAATGGGTTCGAAGTCGAGGACCACTCATACCACACGGACCTCGAACTTGTTCTCAAGATTATGGAACTGGTCGAGGGCCTGTGCCACCAGACCTGCCCCAGCCTGGAACTGGAACGGAAGGCCATCGGGCCCTGGCGTGCCGACAGTGCAACAGTCCCCATGGCCGACAGGAAGCTGATCCCTGTGGACGAGCTGAAGATGCGCGTTGGCAAGCATGGGCTGCACAGTTCCACCACCATGAGGGTCGGAACAGTTGTAGTGCAAAATGGTCAGCTATTGTCCGCGTCCGAGCTCGAGACCATCAACTCTAATGTGAACCAGAGCCTTCTGATTGCCCAGTCCGACATGCCCCCGAGCTCGCTGCCGATGGCAGATGAGACGGAAGAGGCCGTCAAGCAGGACGAGACTCAGGGCGATGCGGAACGGATCATTTCCGTGGTTACGGAGGAGCACCACCGAATCGGACCATGATTTGACATTCATATCATGTTCTGATTTTTAGATAATCAATATTATAGATATTTTAATGAAAAAAATTTTCATTGATGAGTGTTTAGGTTAATTTCGATTAAAGATTAACCTTATATTTAGCTATTCATAGTTGACATTGGTAGCATGTGATGGGTATATATATATCCTGATGCTTTTGCGGTGCCGCATTGTTGTCTATTCACTTGAAGTAAAATCTCTCGTGTGTAACATTCCATGTACATAATTCTTGAGCGTGAATCATGTTATACATAATGGTTTCTCATTTTTATGCCGACAAATGGTATCATAAAAGGTTTTCGGTTCGGAGTTATTTGGAAATTCACAGTTTAAATATTTCGGTTTAAAATTTGTGACAATTCTATTTTTTCATTTTTATAGTTTTTTTTTCGTTCTTTTGTCGGTAATAGAGTTTTGCCAAAAGTCACGGTTTAGATGACAGTTCTGAGAAGTGAAAAACTCGTGGAGTCTCCATAAAGTTTATGATGAGTGAGAGTTTTTGTGACAAACGTTTGTAATAGTTTTCAAAAGTGTGACAATTTCGGAAGTTTCTGAAGCATGACGATTTTCTGTGATGGTTTCTGAAAAGTGACAAATTTTATTTTTTTAGATGGTGTTTGTGAAAATGTTTTTCTCGTTCAGAATATTGCAAAACTAAGAGTGGTCTTTTTCAAAAGTTGTGGCTTGTGACAGGTCGTTATCTGTCGATGACGGTTTTCATCGTAGACAAAGCTTGAAAGCTTGCAAGAACTCACGGCTGAATTGTAAAAAAAAATTGACAGCAGCAGCAGCCACCGTTAGTTTTGAGTGAGAGAAGAGATGAGACATAAAGCAAAGACGAGAGCGCTTTCTTTCGCGCGAAGTCGTTGCGCGGCGAGAGACATTCAGGTCTTACAACCCTCGCTAGTAAGACAGAAGTTCTGCAATCATGGAAGATATTTCAGAGAGAAATCTTCTTTGCAATTAGACAATGGCTCTGCTTGCGCAACTGTGCTTGGCCTGTCTTGGCAATCCATCAGATGTATCATCCGAGATGAGGAGGAACTGATAAAGTTCTGTTCTGCAAAGGAGAGACTGAGTTCTTTGTCGGAAGAGTAAAGGTTCTACCTTGCTTTTGCCATTGCTCGGCCAAAGCGGAGTGACCACCCCCTCCCGCAGTTTGACACCCGACATGTCGCGACTTGCGCGACATGTGGCGTCGTAGCGTGAACGACGCAGATGTGAGGAGAGAGAATGTTGCGTGGTTGTGGCTAGGTCATCTCCAATCTCAACATGTGTCAAAATTTTGAGTAATATTTGTCAATTTTGATCAAACTCATCGCAAAAAATTTGAATTAAGTTCTGGTTGAAGGATTTTGCATGGGGAGACAGTGGCGGATAATGTGCGCTTAGTTCTCATAGTTTTGTAAACACTAAATATTCTAAGGCGGATGTGGTTAGCGGGGACTAATTCAAATTTCGGATCCAAATGTTTCATGGAAAAGTAGTAACATTTATGAATGTTAGTCACATTCCTAGTATGCGTGAGAATTTAATTTCACTCGGGAAGATTGACATTAGAATCTTTCATTGGATAACTTTCTCACTGATGAGAAATGATCTAACATGATAATGAAAGCTCACAAGCATAAAAATTTGTACATCTTGGATGGATCTACAATTCTCAATGATGCGAATGCTATGACTTCATTGGAATATCAGACCAGATTGTGACATGCTCGTTTTGATCACATGACCGAAAAGATATGAACTATTCAAACAAACATAAATTATTATCTAGCTTGAGTTCTGTGGTAACCCATTTTTTGTTTTTTGTCGGAACTAAAACATTTTTTAAATAGTAAGTACCGCGGCAGCAACTGTAAATAGTAATCAGTACGCGAAACCAGAGTAAAAAGAGCATCGAGGACAGTCAAAGGGTTTGGGGCTTAGGCCACAGTGGGACGCTTGGGACGGAACGGGCGGTTCATGCTGCAGGATCCGCTTCGAGCACCTTTGGCGGTAGATCACTCATAACTTTCTCAATTCGTAACGCTTTGAGTTGCTTCGGGTCTTGTTGGAAAGAGCTTGACGCGTTGGTTCTAACAAGCCCAAAAACTTGTGAAACGGATGAGAGGTCACTGAGTTATGAGTGTCGGAAGTTATTGATGGGGGGCCTTCGGCGGGAGAGCGACTTTGGCGGTACGCCTTCGGCGGAAGAACCGCCAGAAGATGCGCCTTCGGGTCAACGCCTTCGGGTCAACACCTTCGGCGATGCGGGAGAGTGCATTCGGCGGAAGAGTGAATCCCTCATAACTTTCTCAATTTGCAACGCCTTGACTTGGTTAGGGTCTCGTTGAAAAGAACTCGACGCGCTAATTCTAACGAGCCCAAGAACGCCACGAACGGAGGAGGGCTCTGGGAGTTATGAAGGTTGCAAGATACTCAGCTTTCCGCCTGCGCACAGGCGAAGAAAGTTTTGTCCTATGCGCGGACGAAGGAAGTTCGCCTACGCACAGGCGAAATAGGGTTTCGACGTAGGCGCGAAGTTCGCCTACGCATAGGCGTTCGCCTGTGCACAGGCGCTTCGGCGTCAGCGGGAAATCCGCCTTCGGGGTTGGAACTTGTACGGACGCGGACGCCTGCGAGTAGGCGGCTTGCGACGCGGACGCGGTCGCCTGCGAGTCCATAGGCAAACGCCTTCGGCGGAAGAGTAACACCGTCATAACTTTCTCAATTCTTAACGGTTTGACTTAGTTAGGGTCTTGTTGGAAAGAGCTCGCAACGCTCGTTCCAACAAGTTCAAGAACTCTTGAAATGGATAAGACAGCACCGAGTTAGGAGCGGCGGAAGTTTCTGATATGGAAGTCCTTGGGCGGCCTACGCGCAGGCGGCTTGCGCGTAGGCGGCCTGTGCACAAGCAAACGCCTTCGGCGGAAGGGAAAAACCGTGATAACGTTTTCAATCCTTAACGGTTTGCGTTAGTTAGGGTCTCGTTGGAAAGAACTCGACACGCTCATTCTAACGAGCCCAAGAACGCTTGGAACGGATGAGGAATTAGGGAGTTATGACTATAGGAAGATACGTAGACGTTCGCCTTCGGCGGAAGTAGTTCGCCTCCGGCGGGAAGTCCGCCTACGCGGAAGGGAGATCAACTTTTGCCCGATGCGCGGACGGACGCCTTCGGCGGTTGCAAGCCTTTGGCGAAGCAGTAAAACCGGCATATCTTTTTCAATTCTTAGCGGTTTGACTTGATTTGGGTCTTGTTGGAAAGAACTCGACGAGCTGGTTCCAACAAGACCAAGATCTCTTGAAACGGATTAGTCATCAATGAGTTATGAGTGTCGAAAGCGGTTTTCATGGTTAGGCGTGAGGCCTTCGGCGTTAACAGTTAGAGGGGCCTTCGGCCCAAAGCGGCCTGCGAGTAGGCGGCTTGCGTGTAGGACGCGTGGGACCCATAGTCCTCGGATTTTGGAGAAGGAATTTTGGCCTAGGTTCAGAGATCTTGTGGGACCCATATCTTGGCGATGGACGCTCGGATGGATCTGAAATTTTGTAGGGCCGTTGATCCCGGCCGGCCACGCATGCCTGCAAATTTTCAACCTCAGATCTTGGATGGGAAGGCGCTGGCGGCTCTGTACAGTAGGCTTAGGATTTAGGTTTAGGGTTAGGGTTAGGTTTAGGTTGTAAGTTAGAGGGGAAGGCAGCCGCCGACTCCTCAGGTGTAGGATCTGTTGCGGCTCGCACCAGGGCATTGCAGTGTAGTGTTAGTTAGGACTTAGAAGGTATAAAATAGTTCAAGGCGTTTTGCCTTGGGTTCTTTCCCAATTTCAGAAGTATAGATCAGGAACTCATTTTCTCTGCGTGTTCGTGCCCTTAGTTCTGTCACCACGTGTGGTACCCCACTTTTGGTAATTTTGAGGAAATTAAAACATTTTTGAAAAAAACTGTACCCTGGCAGCAATGTAAATAGCCTTTGGTGCATCAAAACATAGTGAATTCGGAAGATCGCGGGGATTCTTGAGGGATCTTGTAGAATCTAGGAGTTGGGTGCAGCAGTAAGGACGGGCACCACCCTCCCTGCGAGCTCTGCAGTTAGGATCCCTACGGCGCAAGGCGCAAAACCCGCCTTCGGAAGCTGCGTCCGCGGCGGTAGGGAAATCCTTCATATTTAGGTCAACCCCCGGGCGCCTTGACCTAGTTAGGGTCTCGTTGGAAAGAGCTCGACGCACTGATTCCAACGAGCCCAAGAACGCTTGGAACGGATGAGGACTTAGGGAGTTATCACTATCGGAAGATACGTAGACGTTCGCCTTCGGCGGAAGGAGTTCGCCACCGGCGGGAATTCCGCCTACGCGGAAGGGAGATCAAGTTTTGTCCTATGCGCGGACTGTGGTTACACACTTTTTGTTTTTTTTGCAGAAATTAAACAATTTTAGAAAACTAGTACCGAAGCAGTGTTTGTAGTTAGAAAAGGGTACGTTAAATAGAGTGGATTGATGAGATCGTCACGAGGACACGAAGACTCACGTAGTCGGATGTACCAACGCCAATGTCTTCGGCGCCTTCGGCAAAAGCTCCTTTTCTGAGGTGTCTCTACTCACGCGCCTCCAGCGTATAAGGAAGCTACGCTTCCGGCGCAGACACTTCAAGAGGAGGTTTTGCTAAAGACGTCAGGAGAAGGGCCCGGACCTCTGAAGACGTCCGACCATGAGTGCGCCTTCGGCGATGCGCCGCTAGCGCGGAAAGGGAAAACCTTCATAACGATCGGGATACACGGTAGATCCAGTTGGTTGAAGTCTCATTAGAAAGAGCTCGAGACGCTCGTTCTAACGAGCCCAAGAGCGTCGGAGATGGATCAGGGACGGAGAAGTTATGAGCGTCGGAAAACTCGTAGCCGGACATGCGCCGTTCGCGCTAGGGTTCACAGCCGGAAAGGATTCCCGTACGCCCTCGGCGGTGCGCCTTCGGCGGAATCACACGCTCATAGGAGGAAACCAACTCAGAGTCGGAAGCGCCTTTGGCGGCTGTTCATGGAAGGAAAGCGCCGGTCGGATGTACGCCTCCGACGTGGCGCTGACGGCCGGATGCGCTGGCATGAGTTGCGCTGGCGGATATGCGCCGGCAGCAATGGACGAGGCATAAAGGACAAAATAAGCGGTACGACTGCGCGCCGGCGTAATT